CAAGCCACAGCTGCAAGAGTGATACTAGTCACTAGCTGCGAGTTGCACAATTCTTGTTGAAGTAAATTTGCCGCTTAGCTTCGCAGTCATCGCCCTGACCTCGGTGCAAGAGTCTAATACGACAAGTGTGTGGTGCACGTACGTAATCCTTACTGCTACAAGAAGAAGACGACCAAGACAGCATTCAAAAGGAATCAGTCCAACTGGCTAATGCAGTCAACAACAATACTCCTCGGTTTCTCGGCTCAAGAACCACATCCACTGAAGCCCCATCTTCAGGTGACTGCATCTGCGTCAACGAAAAACGGGAGTACCAAAGCCAATGACTTCTGCGCCCACTTCCGTTCATGTGGTGTTTACTTGGAAGACTTGCGGAGGTCTGGGTGTGAATGGGTCGTATCTGCCTCCCCCATCCGATTCATTAACTTGCTCACTGCAAGTGATGTTACCAAAGGGGATTAAACCCAAGCAACCGCACTACAGCATAAGAGCGCAGACAATCAGCGCTAAGCCTGGCGATCCGAGAGGCACCTAGGGGAAAATTAAATATCGAACATCCCGAAACGAATAAAAGAAGCCATGTGCAATGCAAGCCAGAGTGTAACAGAAGGAAGCAATACCACCCTTCATTGCAAGATGTGCCTCCTGTAAGACACATGCCAGGATAAAGCAACCAAGACGTTTTTCAAGAGGGCAGGGAAAGAAACTCGCAAGCGGCCATCCTCATGGCGCTGAAAACTAGACCAGACATGCTGGAGATCCGGGCCTCGACGGCAGAAAGGCCGGCAAAGAACGGAGCAGGAAACGTTGCCCAAGCGTCATCACAGTGAGTTCGGCCGGAGCGACAAAGAGGCAGCCACAAGTACAGCTGTGTAATCGGACAACTGTAGACTGGGCCGCAAGGTCGTGGGCGGAAGCTCAACGGGAGTACGGAACCTTGCCGTACAGACGACCATCAATTCTGGAACCCGAAGCCCACTCAACGAAATGAAACTTTCTCCAGGCAACTCTAGCAAACCAACGGCTGGAAGGCTGCAACGAGATGCGACTGGCATTGTTACCACTAGCGGAGGGACTTTGCGAAACCCGATTTCGACTCCATGAACATGATCCAAAGGGTCATTGAAAACTTTGCTGTTTCTGGCAAGAACGGAAAATGGCGGACAGTTGGCCGAGACGGCCCCCGAGAAACAAGCAAAGTCCGGTGAAGGACTAAGTTTAGGGGAATCTTAAAAATCGATCCCCTTGTTACTGCAGAAAATCGTCGGTAGACCTCTGTCAGGTCTGAAAACAGCCAAGCCACACTCCGGCTTGAATGTCCAAGTCTCTCCAGAAACTGGCAGACAAAGCGCCGTAGCGTAAGCGAAGTGCATCAGCCACGTCATGGCGAAAAGCTTTGCTCACAGTCACAATGGTAGCAGCTGCATGATGGAGGGCTGCGTGAACCCGTGCGTCGATGCCCCCAGCATGTGGTGTGACCTCGAAATCTTGTGTGCCTCATCGCTTTCTGGTAAAAACACTTTGGTTTGAGCCCCTACTTTGGGACATCTTCTGCTCAGTAGGACACTGCCACCATCACATGCCCGACAGCCTCGGGACTCAGATCGCTCTGCACCGGGGCCCATGCTGTGCTCCACAACCTGACGGCACGGGAAATCCGGATTGTATGCACATGTCGCTGAGCACAAGGCTGACAAAACCGCTCACGCAGTCGTCGGCGACATGTAATATACAAAACTGTGCACTGCTGGCAGGGCCACCCACGCAGAGGAACACACAGTTGTGTGAGACCACGGCAGGAAGTTCGTGTGGGTGCAAGGCTGCTGCCACTTCTGGCCTCGTTTGCGGCAAGCTCTAGGCAGGATCGCTGACGCGCTTTCTTCCGTCACATCAGTAGCCATCTCGGCTTGCGGTAACTCCAAACACGGTGTCTTCCACTAATGGGTGCGGACTTCAACAGGATCTAAACTCCTCACATGATTATAAAGGTATATTTTCAGACATCCAAGTCAATCCGATAAAGTTTCTTAAGCTTCTGGCGTACCGGCGGTTGTGAGGACGATGAAGGGATCGTCAAGGCCTCGAGTCAAACACGTGAAGCTGAGGGATCCCGGAGCATTGCAGCGCATGCAGTTCATGCATGCACTTACATGTTTACATACACGTAACATTCTTCTGTATCTGTTTGTGCAAAAATGTATACAAATTAGCCTCACACCTCAACATGTACACATATATGATCATATACTTTTTTTTGGCTCCCGCTTGGCTGTCTGGCGACTGCATTGCAGGTGACAAGTGGTGATCATATACTTATTTGTATATATATATATAATAGAACATACTATAACAGAATATACTATTATATTGTATATAAGTAAGTAGATACGAGTACATGTCTCTCACATTCCCGCTCCTTCTCCCTTCGCTTTGCTCGGCTCGAGGTAGGAGGCATGCGCATTTGCAGGATGTATACATGTCAAAAAGGGCCCCGCTTGACTTGCACTCACAACTTCCTTCCTGTCAGGGCCGCCCATAGTTTCGGGATTCTGGTTTCGGATCGGCTGCCGGGGGATTTCGGATCAAAGCCAGACAGTTTCGGCGCCCAGTTTCGGCACTGCGGGAGTCAGCCTCGGGACGCGGGTCTGTCAGTTTCGGGAGGGGGGGGGGGAATGTGGGCAGTTTCAGTCCGATTCTTGCATGCCTGGGCCTCAAACTGACGCAACTCCGCTCCGAAACTCCGCACCGAAATTATCCTCGAAAACCCTGAAACTGACTCACAATTTCAGATGAGAGCGAGAGAGCATGTGTGCGCAAACGTGTGTGCGTGTGTGGCTGTCTCTGTGTGTGTGTGCGTGTTGTCTCTGCGTATGTGTCCGTGTGAAAGCCCCTCGACATGGCGTCATTCTATGGTGAGCTAGAGATCTGCTGAGCAATCTCAAAGGCAGGGGAACCGGGGGGGAGTGGAGTCCAACGAAGCTCTCCTGCGCACTTCAGGAAAACTTACCTGCTTGGGGGGGATGCACTCTTCATCTCATTTGGTGTGCCTTTCCTCGCGTCGGGCACACAAGGGCAGAACCGAACATACCCCAACGGATCATTTTTGCATGCCATTCCTGGGGTCTGGCATACTTACGCACCAAACGGTGTCATCATATGATGTCCCGCTCTTTTGTCTTTCATCTTCTCATCCTGTCTGTCTTCGTCGCAGTTAATAGTGCCGAGCCTAAGTAAGTAAGTGTGTGTGTGTGTGTATGTGTTTCTGTGTTCCTGTCTTTGCTTCTTTGTTTGTGTGTTTGTTTGAGCGCTTATTGCTGGTGTGCTTGGTTGTTGGTGTGTTTGTTGTGTTTGTCTGTTGTTGATCGATCGTTTTGTTCGTTGTTAATCGTTTAGATTGGCTTTGCTTGATTGGATGTTGTCTTGCTTGCTTGTCTGTTTGTCCGTGCATGCGTGTGCAAGGCGTCGGCAACAACTGCCACACTCCCCCCGAACTGGCAACATCTCGTCACGCTTCTAGGCAGTGTGCTCCAGAGCTTTGATATTTGGTGTGACGCTACTTCTGCACCGCTGCAAACCACGACTGCCGCGAGTCGGAGCCTCCCAAGCTCCGCCAAGCCAGCTGCACGTCATCGGCACCTAGCAGCGATGTTTCGTTCTAGTTGGTTGCTCCCTTCTTCAGTTCAGCCGCATGCTGAACACCGAACCCAGTACTTGTCTGTGCACCGACAAAAACTCAAGTCTATCCATGCTGCTGAACCTGAGGTTCTTCGTTTGCTCGGATGTCTCATGTACATGATACCAAGCAGTCATTCCTTTTCAGAAGCAGTCGTCGCTCGGTCTCTGTACAGATAGATCTGCTGCATCGAGCAGGTAAGAAGACGAGGAGTCTGGGGAAACAATCCTCGGTGTTGACCTAGGACCTAGCTGCTGGTTGAGGGCCGTTTCTCTCGAGCATGCCGTTTCCTTCACGACCTACCTGTAAGTGCGAGTGGAGAAGCAAGCTCACATAGCTTCCGGGCTGTATGACTCAGTTCACTACAGTCCCTCGATGTATGTGGTCTGCACATGAACAAAATCACTTTTGCTGTCTCCATGGGCGCATCCACTTCGAATCTCTTTGTGCAAAGAGCCCTGGAAGGTTAACATATATGTCCGTGGCGCAGTGCTCGAACAAGAAGCGGCAGTCACACACCAGGCAGCCTTTACAAGTTTGAAACGCCAACATGTGTGTGCGTGTGTACAGTGCTGTGTCAGCTTTAATCTACGCTGGAGCCACGCTCACATCCGAAGCCCTAGAGAGTTCCGGAGACAGGCATTAGTACATTATTTTTCAAACTGATGACGTGCTGGGCTGCCGCGTATAAATTCGATCTTCAAGCGCTTCGGCTGTGGCTAAGCCTTTTGCACAACTCCTATTGAAAACCTCCTACGTGGCAAAGCTACGATGTCTGCATCCCTCTCGGCCGCTTGCTGCAGGATCTTACAGGGAGGACGAGGCATGAGATGTTCGTGAGGGCCATGAACGACCATGTCAGCCTGAGGAGCATGGACATCGTTGCGTGCTTGAACGGAAGATGTACCGCGCCGTGGGCGGCGAAAACTGCAACATGCGGGACTCTGGAAGCCTGGCTGCGGTTTTGGACCCCTTCCAGGTCCGATTCAGCTAGGGAGGCTGCGGCTCGAACTGTGAGGATGCACCATATGGGTCTAGCTGCGAAGAGGGGCATCTCGTAATGAGAAGTGTCAACAGACTCATGAACCATGCGGCTCACATGACTGCATCTTGTGACGAGCTCGCAGACAAGTGCATGTGAGCACCAACGCTGCAAATTTGAAGCAAGGTGTGTCAAGCTTCCAAACAAAGCAGCAGACAAGAAGTCTGACAGTGGTAAGATGTGTTAAGCAGTCCGGGCTCCGAACCCTGCATGGGGGCACTTCCTTGAGCTGTGCAAACCATCTCATGGTTAGCTCAGGATAAGAACCCACGGCGTAAAGTCCAGCTACAACATCAAGGCATAAGAAGGGTTTGCAACGTGCGCATGAAAGCCTGATGTCAGCAGGAATGGGGACATTCCTCCCTTCACATTCCAGGCCTTGGCCAGGCCAGCCTGACGAAACATGAGCATAGGCCTCCCCCCGTCTCTCCCACGACTGGCCTTGAAACCGGCGACCACCAAGCCATGACTTTGCACGGCGACCGCAGCGCTGGAGCCCAGGAGTCCATATTCGCCTTCGACGCTTTGGAGTCTCGGGTCTTCGTCAGGTGTGGCTGCAGCTGCATTCTGAATCGAACTGAATCGTGAACAATTTGAAGTATCGCGCCCATGTGTATCTGTAATTGCCGAATGTGGGCAGGATGTTCGGCAAGAAGATGCAAGAAGCAGCTACTTGCCTGGCTTACCGAGCAGTGTAGCCAGGCCACCTTTCGCAAGTACCTGGAGCTCCTTCGTTCGACGGTTCCAGACCTGGCAACGGGCCGGGCAAGCTTGGCCCGAACTGCGACAATGTAGCTTTGACAGGTCTTCAAGGTCCTGGGGGACACTACCGCAAGCTGCAAACCAGTGACCGATCTTCGCACCCCGTGCCTGCACGGCGCCACGGCCTGAACCCATAGCGACAAAATCCCCGGCGATGGCCAAGGACACCACCTGAAATTATTAGACAAGTTCCATAGAAACTCGTGGCAGATCTGTAAGGATCAAAGCGGACTTCCCCACAGCCGAAAACCAAGGCGCAGGGTCCGATGTCAAAAAGCATGAAAATACGCCTCTCCAGGCTCCAGAATATTGCGTGGACATAGTTGCAAACAGCTTCCGTCTGAGGGAGCTACGATTGAAGCAATCAAACCACACGGAACAGGCTCGAATTGCGACACAGTGCAAAGCACCAAACCCTGCGAACTCATGGAAGCCTTCGGACCGCCAGGAAGGCCCTCTGATGCCCTCTGTCTACTACCAGTAGCATGCAAGTTCTGGATCACAGAACCCCTCGAAGGTCCTGAAGCTGGCAGAGTTGCGAAGCTGATTACATCGAGGAGCATGCCGGACCTTGCAAATCCGTTGCGAGCTGCAAGTAAAGTCTGGCAGCTGGGCTAACTTCAAACGAAAGTATCGAGATCAATGATTCCCACGGCTCCTTCTCACTCTCTCTTCATCACGCTATGCCGTCCAGGACGAATCACTGAATCTGACGCGACAAGGCTTCACAAACGAGCATGTGTTCCTTGTAGAAGCAGCCATTGTCCCTTCGCCCCGCAGCCACCCGGACTTGCCGAAGCCCTGGCTCAGAATTCCACAGCCGTGCAGTGCCGTCCATAGACCCAGTCGCCTGGCACACAAGCAAAGCTCTTGGCAAGCGGAGCAACAAGGCGACTAGTTCACTCCAGCTGCACTGCGATTAGACACATGTACTTGGTGTGGAGACCTTAATCGTGTTTCGTTTTGTTGGCGCAGCAGATGCTGGTACTCGAGCCCTGAGGGATCCTAGGACTGCTACCCTAACTCCCAACATTCGATGTATTGACTACTACCCCAATGCAGCAAATAAAGTTAAATAAAGGGAAAGGTGGAGTGCATGGCTGAGGCTAAACAGCTACGTAGCTACTGACAGGGATCTGCAATTTTTGCCAAACCCCCTCCGGCCAAAAGCTGCAAGTTCCGGTGCATGGACACGGAGGCAACTCGACCTCAGAATCTTCGAGTTTTCGTACACAAAACGACTGGTCCAAACAAGCGCTAAGCACACACTGGCATTCAGATACTGCGCACAGTTCACAACCATAGACCGTACCGGCAGGCAGAATTAATTCCAAATGGCGTTTGTGTCCAGAGAGGACGTGCTTCACACGCCCGGTAGCCGTGTTCCAGATTCGTGCTGTGCAGTCACTGGATCCTGCGAGCTGGAGCATGACGTTCGGCAGTGAGAAATACCAGAAGACCGGATTATCGTCAGCTCTCACTCGCCTTCATGTCGGGTCCTGTTACTGCCATGCAGCCGTGGAGAAGAACTGAGCTTATTCCCTTGCAATGGCCAACCAGGCGCACCTTGGCTGACTGCACCAATCACATGATCTGGCACAGTCGCAGTGAGTTCGAGCGATACACTGTTGCAGCCGCGCAGGTGTGAACATCAGGAGGCTTTTGACAACCAACAACGGCAAAAGCGTGAAATCCAGAGAGTAGGACGATCTCCACGGGCTCATCCTCGTCACCACCCTTGCATCCGAGTTGCACAGTCGGCCTTCCTTTGCTGCTGGCGCAACATGCGCAACTGTTACTGTACAGTAGAGCATGGTCGTTTCTATACACAGGTACGTGCCGATTCACATTCACAGGGTCTCACGTGTTCTGATGCTACTTTGGCCAACAGTCCTTTCAGTGGCCGGACAGATATTACGTCATGAAGGGTGGTACTTAGCTTAGCGAGCCCTTTACGCCTGAAGCGGTGCTCCAAAGCAACCGGCTCATTCCTGTCAGTCTTTCGGGATCAACTAGGTCGTACCTGCATTACCGAAATGGGATTCGTGCTTGAATGTGTTTACGGCTTAAGTAAGTCTTTCACGAGCAGAACACTGCTCCGTCTGTGCTTTCTGAGTCTCTCTACTGCCAGAAGACCGTAAGGCAGCACGGGCTGCTCCTGCATCTGGACTCGCAAAGCTTTTGGCTTTTGGCTTCGGCTTGCTGGGTATATCTCATCTTGCATATCTAGTCTAAACGACACTGGTGCGGTCCCCAGTGATCTTTCCCAGCACGGCCATACCATTGCTGCCGCCCAAAATGATGGTGGACTGCTCAATGCCTGAATACTGTGGCACTATGGCCAGTCGAACAGAGTCGTAAGTGCCTTTCTTCCCATTGAGTGCCCCACCCACTGCAGTAACGGAGCAGTCGAAGAGGATCGTCTTGAGCAAGACGCCTGTATGAGGGGCTTGCGTGCACCGTGTGGCAAAGCTCCCACTACCATACCAACTCCGAGCCTCGTGAGGCATCCCAGGCCCTTGCAGTGCAATCATAAGATCCCGTAAGGACCTCGCAGTGCGGGTGCATGTGCACAGATGCAAATGGGGTCCGTTTTCTGCCGCACTACTTCTTAAAGCACGGGGGAAACGTCCAAGTTGTGTCCCCGTGTTCTTACTTATCATGTATGACGTACAGAGGTTTACCATCAAGGTCTGGCGGCATCATTCAGATCAATTCCGAAGTCGTTCCTCGTGAAAGAGCACATTTACCGCTGAAATGCTTGGACGTCCGACAAACCAGGACGAAATTTTCATAAAAAAACGTCCACCATATGTAGCATTGCAGGCCACAGTGATTTGGGCAAAAGCTGTTGCTGTTCGTGTCTTTTGGCGTTAGTCACCGGTGACCGGCAGCGCTGTGCCACAAAACGGGCCAGGACTCAGCATCGCAACCGATGGGTTGTCAATGACAAGAACAAAGATGGAAGCCACAATAAGCCACAAAAAAGCGGGGGATCGTGTTTGACATTGAGGCAGCTTGCACTTCCAAGCTTATCCCTACGTTGCCCTTCATCTCACGAAACTACACCATCGATCGTAGATCTGTTCATCAGTGTTTGCACCCTGCAGTAATTAGCGATGGTCCAAGGATCGCTGCAGATTTATACAAGCGGCCAAGATTGTCAGTGCAAGTATTGACGAGGAAAAGTCTGCACCACAGCTGAGTTGATGACGATGTTTCCCTTCATCGCAACTGTGAGGACCGTGTCCGTATGGCCGGTCAGGAAGCGTGTTCCAGCCCTGGCACAGGCGGCTTGCTGAAAGAATGCAGCTCCACACCTGAAGCTGTTGCATAGCACCCATGCATGCATAACTCGGTGTGCAAACACATGCACGTATAGCTGCCTGCATGCATACACACACTTACATACTTGAAGTCTGTCACGTTTACACTTACATGTACATATACCTTTTCATATACATTGACGTATACATGTACATCTTCACATACATGTAGATGTGCATGTACTTATGCACTTGCATATGCCTATGCAAATAATTACACACTAGCATAGAGACGGACAGGCCTACAGACAAGCAGCTGTACGTTTCAACGTCCACATAGACATACTTGTTTGCGCAAGGCAACAGCATTACAGAAGACGCATATACATATATTCGTGCAGAAGAGCTCATCCCTTCTTGCTACATGTCGTGGGTGCTCGTTCAACACATGTTGCGGTGATGGCGGTGACAAGGATGTTGAACGTTCTCATGACCCTGATGCTGCTGAAGAAAGCGGGGTAATGGTGTCACTTAGCAGGTCTGTTTCCGTTTTGCTAAACCCCATTGCGATGAGGACGACCAAAACTAGTCCTTAACAAGCAGTATTGCCGTTATAGCTGCGGGTTTGTGATAGCACTGAAATTGCGAGTATAGCGTGGCGATTACTGCTACTGGTATACAATACTACTGAACAGCTATTTGGATGTTGCTGCTATAAGCACATGAGGCCACAAGCCATGCGTTGTTTAGTTGCGCCAAAGGCAGACCTTGAGAATAAACGTTCTGGCAGTGCGTCTCATGCAGTCTACTTTGCAGTGCTGAAACAAGCATGTGCGAGATAGCCTTGGCCTGGTGATGCCTCGTGTCGCACGAAAGACATGCGGCCTGCCCGAGCGAGGATCCCAAAGCTTCACCGTGTGGTTGCAGGTGAACCTGAGCTGTGCAAACTTCAGCGTCTTTGCATTCCAAGAAGTATCCTGCCAGCTGGGCCGCGGATCAACTTCGTAGGTCACAACCTGCACACATTGACGGCCACACAAACAATGCCTTGTCGCCTGAAGTGGTCGATGCAAGTTTACGTATTTCGCAGAGCCTACGATTTTGGAGATTTTTGGACGCAACCACGTTGGATGCTGTGCCAACTTGCGCGAGAGACAACTACCCGCATAGCTGCGCTATTGCAGGATGCTGCTGGGACCACCGATGCCTGCATCTTCGGGGGCTCCCCAAGGTAGTCTTGTATCAAAGCCCACCTGGGAATAGGTTTTGCAGGTGGTCAACTTCGATTTTGAACAGATCCGGAGCATCATTTGCGCATGAATGCCGAGTCCAATTCCATTAATTAGCTTGTGGGGCACCGGTTTGGCCCAAGACAGTGGTGCAGCCACGACAGGAAACTTCGGAATCATGCGGCAGGCTTAGCTACGTAATCCGTAAACATGTGCGCATACAGCCCCTTATACTTACAGTACATATACATGGGTACATGTGCACAGATGTACTTCTGTATGTGTGTATATATATATATATATGTATACACACGTGCAAGTGCGTGTGTGTGTGTGTATACATACGTATGTCTGTATGCAAGCATGTTTGTATGGATGCATGTGTATATTTACTTATATACATTTATATATATATATATATATATACATATATATATATATATATGTGTAGGTCTGTACGAACGTATGCATGCATGTATGTATGTTTGCACACACATGCACACACACACACACAAACGCACACACACACACACAGGCACACACACACACACACACCCATGCACGCACGCACACACACGACTGCATGCACAAATTCATGGAAGTGTCTGCATCTATCTACCTATCGATCTATCTAATATATATATATATATATATATATATATGTGTGTGTGTGTAGATATAGTTATAAACAAATATATGTATATACATATATACACATATGCATATATACACATACATATTATATACATATATATAAATAAATAAATATATATATATATATATATATATATATATATATATTAAAATAACCATGTGTGTGCACATACGTACATACGTGCACACACACACACAGAGACGAACCGAGACAGGCAAGTGTTCCTCTCTCTCTCTGCTCAACGCACAGCCGTGCATGTAAACACATGGAGTAAACGCCTACATACAAATGTGTATGATGTACACAAGTGTCTGTACACTGACATATGCGGTGACGCTTTTGAAGATACGGAGTGTTAACTACCTAAGCAGATATCTTATACTGCCTCTGTTGGCTCCGGGCCGCATTTTAAGAAAGCGAGTTCTGGCCGCCCTCCACTGTTGTTTAAAAACTTCACCTTGTAACATAAATAATCACACACACACACACACACACATAGACTCACTCACACACAGGCACGCACGCACGCACTTAGAGTGTGTGCGCGTGCATGCACAGTTGCCTTGTTTGCTGGTGCAGTGAACTTCCTGTACAAGAACCGGCTCTATACGAACCCTTAGCGTTACCTCAGCCTGCATTTACAATTTCAGGTTGTCTGAAAATGGGAGGCTTCGGCCTAGAGTACCCAATTTCGAAATCAGGTACTTGATTTGGAGGTGGTTTTGTGGTTTCCTCGGCTTGTTTTGCGAACCTTCGAAGCAAGCACCTGAGGGTACTGAGGCGTTTCATTTTGGGGGCTGGCGAGCTTGAGGGTGCCAAGTGACTAGCCACAAACTCCGATGGCGGCTTCAATGCCCAACGGCTTTACTGATCAGGCCACTACGGTGCCAGGCTCTCCTACCAGGTTCTAACAAAGCCTTCGAGGGCTTTCCATGGCTCCTCAGTCTCGGGCTGCTTGCATTTCTTGTGCCCTGCTGGTGGGCCGTGCTGAAGGGCACAAAAGTGCGATTTGTAGGGACAAATGCCAAGCCGTGCAACCTGACACAGGACAATTTTTGTCACAAGGCGTAGAGGGATGATGTGCGTGCCATCATGTCATTCGTAGCAATTCTGTCCTTCACTGTCCCATGCGGGTCCCGTCTTGTTGATTCAGTTCGGGCACATCCGGGCACATCTGTGGGGCCAAGCTATAGGCACAGACAAAGGAGTCTTAAATTGTCGAAACAACCATCTGGGATTCTGTTTTCACTGCATATCGGCACACCCTCACAAAGACATGATGCTCTCAGATTGTGTCCGAGGCGGCTGGCTTGCAAAATGCTGCTCCATTCTGGGAAATTGCGAGAAAGTTGTCCGAAACTCCTTTTGTGCAAGCGTCGCAGTTTGTCCACACCCAGTCGTTTGTGCTCGCAAAAAAGATACTTGATTCTGAGCTGGCTGATTTGGAGGTTTCATGCTTGCAAGAGGATTTTGTATTTGTCTGTGTTCTCTTCGCACTTGCTCGAACTTTGGTTTTCGTTTCTTGGCAGCTCTGCACCAAAACATGCTTGCAGTTCCATCGCAAACTCGGCTCTTCTTCAAAGTACCCCGCCCGGTTTCCGCAGGTTTCCTCCGCGAGCGAATCTGTCTTTGGTCGGCTGGCGGAACCTACACCGATGAATGGTGGCATGATGTGGCATGTGTCGCATATGATGGAATGTCCTCAGCGCGAGTGAATGCGGACACTTACCTCTCCACGTGTGGTCTTGCGAAGAGGTATGCCTGCACACTTGATTTCGGCTCTCTTGCCCTTCACAGGTTTGCAGCCATGGAGCACGACGTGAAGCAAGGCCTCCCTGCTCTGGAGTGGGATGGCTTCATCTGTAGCATGTGG